TACCTAACAAACTTCTACACACGCTGTTTGGAAGATACAGATGGAAACGTATGCCATTCGGGATCTCGTCCGCGCCCGAAGTTTTTCAAAGGAAAATGCACGAATTTGTAGAAGGTCTGACTGGAACTGAAGTAGTTGCTGACGACTCTCTGATTGTAAAATATGAAAGCTACGAAGAGGCAACAGTGCATCACGACAAGAACCTCCTAGCATTCTTGAGCCGCTGTGAACAACAGGACATACACCTGAACCCCGATAAATTCAGGCTAAGTACTTTTCATTGGTCACATGGCAACTGACAAGGGACTCAAATCAGACCCAGTTAAAGCACAAGCCATTGTGGACATGCCCCCACCGACCGACAAGCTTTGAGTACAACGCCTCTTAGGCTTTGCCCAACATCTTGTAAAGTTTCTGCCCCAACTGTCAGACATCACGAAGCCACTGAGAGACCTGACACTGAACGACGTTCAATTAATCGCGGAGGAAGCACAGCAGGCGGCGTTCAAAAGGCTTAAAGATGCCATCACAGTCACTCCAGTCTTGAGGTACTAGTGCCTGAATGAAGAAATCACACTGCAATGCGATGCACCTCAGACCGGGCTCGGTGCAGCGTTATTACAGAACAGCCAACCGGTAGCCTACGCCTCACGTACACTCACATCTGCAGAGAAGCACTACGCACAGACCGAGAAGGAACTTATAGCGATTGTCTCTGCGTTTTCACACATACGTGTAGGGCCGCGATTTGGTCCACATTGAAACAGACCACAGACCACTGGAGCCTATCTTCACTAAACCTTTGGCAACTGCCCCGAAACGCCAACAAAGAATGTTGCTGAGCCCACAAAGATACAGCCTAAACGTGAAATACAAAAAAGGCAAAGATCTCCACTTGGCAAATACCCTCAGCAGAGCCTACTTACACGTAGTCAACGCATGCGAGTTTAGCAGAGAGCTGGAGAAGATTGACTACAGGCCATGGATGCTAGTGACAGAGGAGACTTGGCAGCAACTCAAAAACGAGAAGCGCATGACCCAGTGCAACAAATTCTACGAGAGGTGATCAAGAGAGGTTGGCCAGACAAAAGATCAGACGTGCCTGAATGCGTACATCCCTACTTCGACATTCGAGACGAGTCAACGGTCCAAGAATAACTCATCCTGAAAGGCCAGCAGCTGGTTGTACCCAGAGCCCTAAGGAAAGAGCTTATGGAAAAAGACGCACTCATCTCTCATTGGCATTGAGGGGTGTGTCAGACGAGAAAGAGACATCTTCTTCTGGCCACGTATGACAGTAGAGTTCAAAGAGTACACTTGCAAATGTGAAGTATGCCTGGCCCACCACAGTAATCAAAGAAAGGAGCCCATCCTCTAGCAGGAATTCGTCGCACGACCTTAGGCCAAGGTTTGGGCTGATCTATGTGAGTTTGACAACAGAACACGGTTAGTCGTCAGCGATTATTACAGCAACTACATCGAAGTTGCTCGCCTGCACACAGTGACGTCCCGAGCCGTCTTTAAAGAGCTGAAAGAAATATATGCCAGGTTTGGTAACCCATACATCCAAATAACAGACAATGGACCACAGTTTGCATCAGCCGAGTTTAGCGTGTTTGCCAAAACGTGGATGTTTGAACACAAAGCATCGTCACCCACCTATGTACAGTCGGAAAGCAGAAAATGTCGACCAGACAGTCAAAAGGCTGTTTAAGAAATTCAAGACGGCTAGGGAATCAGAATTCCTAGCGCTTCTTGACTGGCGCAATACACTTACGGCAGGAATTGGAACCAGCCCGGCCCAGCGCCTGTTTGGTCGTAGATGCAGGACGCCGCTACCTGTAGCTATTTCCGTCCTCCAACGCAGCTACCCCACCGAAGAGGACACCAGAAAGTTGATTGGCAACAAACAACGCCAGAAGTTCTACTATAACAAGCACAGCAAAACCTCTAATTCTCGAATAAAAAAAAACCGAAATTTATTCCATCTAAAAGACCCGTAGAAATTTCAAGAGTTATTGAATTATCAACCCATAACTTTCGAACGAAAAAATGTTAATTTGACACCAATAACCTCTTGGATCTTCAACAGTCGTGATGTTGTGTCGTCTTGTGCTACTACACCTTAATGTTGTAAATAAAAACGTCCCTGTAATTTATCCCCTACGTGAGGTGAAAAGCATGTGTTAAATAAACAGCTTTCGTGGAGCAAGTACATAACTTAGGCCACACACTCTCCTTGGGAGGAGACCTCTCATTCTCCATTCTTGTTGGTGTTTGTGTTCTTGGCTGAAACACTTTACTCACATAGTGCCTCTCCTTCCCTCACAGGGACATAAATTGGACTTTCAGGAAAACCTGACAAATGCAAGAGGGATTGGGGGTTGGAGGCCAGGTAGGCAAGCTGGGATGGACAAGTATCCCATCCTGAAACTTCTGAAACTGGGATTCACCCTTGTAATGTACTTTACCTTTACTCCTTGGGGTAGGTCTAGAGAGGGTGCGAGGGGAGTTTGAGCCTCCTAAACTGGAATAAAAAACATTTAAACAGATGCGGTTTCTGATGCAAACTTTAGTGAACAGAATGTATGTTTGAAATAGCTAAAAATGGAGATTGTGTAAAAGGCATGAAACAACCTACAGTGTTATGTGTATTTCAAAAATTGTTGCTCAATTTAATTCTTAAATGCTCATCTAAACATGCTAGATGTGGTGAGTCAAAATGTACCTCATTTTTCACAATCTGTTACTTTGACAATAATTTAAGTATATATTTTCACACGGTCTTGCCCTTTTCCAGGGCACAATCTCCATCAAACATCCCCAGTAGCCTACCCATCAATTACAGGCAGTTCGAGGTCTGCAGCTGGTAGACTCTCGGTCCCTTCTTTAGAAGAAACCCT